GAATTAAAGTATCATTTTTAGGGATTACTAATGTTACTGTCCCAGCTACAATAAAAAAATACTTAAATACATGTCATTTTGTCCTTGAAACCTTTAATTTAAATACTGTCCAATTCCATTCATTCCTATGGAGGACCGCTCTATAGAGAATGATAGAGGCCTCTAGTGGCCAAAAATCTGTTTTAGCATGGGCAGCGCCATTGAGGGCTTCCATCATGCTTCCTCCATTTTAAAGTAGTCAAAGTAGTTAACTGGGTGGAGATTCCTATGGGTTGTAGCCTCAACGGCGATGCCCATGCTGTCACAGATGCTATAATCCAGTGGTTACCAACCTTTTCTGAGTCAAGATCACTTTCTGAGTCAAAATGCATGCCGAGATCTACCGCTCACATTTTTTAAAAACATGACTTAAAAAACGTAAGCCTATGCAACATTAACCAATTAAAAACAGATCTGTAGTAATGAGCTTTGTGCAGTAGGCTATAGGCCCAATACATTATCACTGCATATTGGCTATGGTTGAATTGCCCTGCCAATGTTGTTCTTCTCAGACCATTTTGAAATAATATTTCAAAATTGTAGGTACAGTGCCTTCAAAGTATTCACACACCTTGACTTAAAAAAAAAAAAAAAATCTGTGTTACAGCTTGAATTTATAATTGTTTATATTTAGACATTTTGCATGTTGTGTCACTGGCCTACACACAATACCCCATAATACATTTTTACTAATTCATAAAAAATGAAAAGCTGAAATGTCTTGAGTCAATAAGTATTCAACTCATTTCTTATGGCAAGCCTAAATATGTTCAGGAGTAAAAATGTGCTTAACAAGGCACATAATAAGTTGCATGGACTCACTCTGTGTGCAATAATCGTGTTTAACATTATTTTTGAATGACTGCCTCATCTTTGTACCCAAAATATACAATTATCTGTAAGGTCCCTCAGTTGAGCAGTGAATTTCAAACACAGATTAAACCACAAAGACCAGGAAGGTTGTCCAATGCCTCACAAAGAAGGTTATTATTGTTAGATGGGTACACATGTAAAAAGCAGACATTGAATATCCCCTTGAGCATGGTGAAATTATTAATTACACTTTGGATGGTGTATCAATACACTCAGTCACTACAGAGATACAGGCGTCCTTCCTAAGTCAGTTGCTGGAGAGGAAGGAAACTTCTCAGGGATTTCACCATGAGGCCAATTGTGACTTTAAAACAGTTACAGAGTTTAATGGCTGTGATAGGAGAAAACAGAGGATGGATCAACAACATTGTAGTTACTCCACAATACTAACCTAAAAGAGTGAAAAGAAGGAAGTCTCTACATAATACAAATATTCCAAAACATGCATCCTGTTTGCAATAAGGCACTGAAGTAAAACTGCAAAAAATGTGGCTAAGAAATAAACTTTATGTCCTGAATAAAAGGCATTATGTTTGGGGCAAATCCAACACAACATATCACCGAATACCACTCAAGCATTGTGGTGGCTGCATCATGTTATGGGTATGCTTGTCATCGACAAGGACTAGGGAGTTTTTTTTAGGATAAAAAGAAACGGAACCTAAAACAAAAGGCTGGAGATTAATGTTCCTGAGTGACCTAGTTACAGTTTTGACTTAAATCGACTTGAAAATCTATGTCAAGACCTGAAAATGGGTGTCTAGCAATGATCAACAAACAATTTGACAGAGCTTGATGAATTTGAAAAAAAATATGGGAAAATGTTGCACAATCCAGGTGTGGAAAGTTCTTTGAGACTTACCCAGAAAGACTTACAGCTGTAAATGCTGGAAAAGGTGTTTCTACAAAGTATCGACTCAGGGGTTTGAATACTTATGTAAATTAGATATTTCTGTATTTCACTTTCAGTAAATGTGCAAACAATTTCTAAAAACATGTTTTCACTTTGTCATTATGGGGTATTGTGTATAGATGGGTGAGAAAAAAACTTTCTGAAGGCTAACAATAACAGAAGCTAAAAATAGCTAGCTACGAAATGGAAGGCTAGCTATCACCTATCACTAAGATAGCTAGTGGTTAGCAATTAGCATGTGACCATTAGATACAAATGTAATAAAAAGTAACCTTCTAAAAGACATATCATTACCGTGATTCATATTTACACATGTAAATGCACTCAATTTGAGCCCTCATTTGTAAAAAATAAAACCATTTAACTCCTACAGTCCCACTGTGACGCTGGCGCGTTTGAGACTTCTAACCCCTTTACAACATTGTGTGTTTGACTTGAAGACTTGAAAATGGCTGTCTCGCAATGATCAACAACCAACTTGACAGAGCTTTAAGAACTAAAAAAATAATAATGTGCAAATATTGCACAATCCAGGTGTGCAAAGCTCTTAGAGACTTACCCAGAAAGACTCACAGCTGTAATCGCTGCCAAAGGTGATTTTAACATGTATTGACTCAGGGGTGTGAATACTTATGTAAATAAGATATTTCTGTATTTCATTTTCAATACATTTGCCAAAATGTCTAAAAATATGTTTTCACTTTGTCAATATGGGGTATCATGTGTAGGTGGCAGAGAAAAAAAATCAAGTTAATCTATTTTGAATTCAGGCTGTAACACAACAAAATGTGGAATAGGTCAAGGGGTATGAATACTGTCTGAAGGCACTGTATATGATCACACTGGTGATAGATAATTTGTTGTATTACTTGTGAGGCACAGCTAAGTGAGCATAATAATGAACTTACAAAAAAAAAAATGTACTGATGGAGGGAGCAGCGGTGAGATTTTATGGCTTATAAAAGTGTTGAACAAAGTGTTGACAGTGCTGAATAACAACTTCAACATGAACTTACTCATGAAAACCGCAGCTCTTTGATGTATTCGTTGAGTCTTTCTCTAGTCATGGTTTTAACATTTTTGAAATCTCATATTATCAGCTTTACTGTGCGTACAGTCTATGGAGCGAGGAAACTGTGTAGACATGGATATCTGAGCTATCTGATTGGTCAGCGGTAGGCCTATAGGTGCACTTGATTTGCTCTCTGGAACTGCCGGGTAGGCAGAGTTCTACCTTCAGACACATTAAATGGTAAAAAATGGGAACACACTGCCTTCCCGGCGCTAGGGCTGCTGAATCATGTGCACCTACCGCCAACAGCGCGAAACGAATAAAAAAAATAGGAACGCAAGGCTTTATCGTTGGCTTCTTTACAGAAATGTTTGGTGATCGACTAGGAATGCTTGGAGATCGACCAGTCGATTGCGATCGACCGGTTGGTGACCACTGCTATAATGGCACAGATATAAAGATGAGTCCTCTATCTATCTCTATGGACTGCTCCTACTGGGGAGTGCCAATATGGCCGACCGGTGGCTTCAAAACCTCTGCATAGCATCAGCAATCCAGGGTTTACATTCATCATTGGACGCAGCCCACCCTGTTCCAGCTCACCCTTCTAGTCTAATCTGGGAGGCCAAATCAAGGTATTTTTACAGTGACGACCAGATGTAGCGGTTCCAACATTTCAAACAAGCCATAACATTAACATGTGTACAATTTACCTACAGACATAAACATGTGTTTATACGATCACTGTACATTACGTTTTTATCATCTCAAGATTTCTATCCTTCCCACATGTGCACTCTGTTCTTTCTAAATGGTGTGTTTCCTTTTTATGGTACTGTATAACACTGTCTACCGATGAGTAGGTTCGACCAGCCTGTTTGACATTTCTGCATCCTGTTTAAAGAATGTTCTTCAGCACAAAAATACAAACAAAGTATTTTTGCTCTTCACTAAACATGCAGGCCTATGTAGACATTCATATCAGAATGCACAATCAGATGGGTGAATAAGGTGGATATGCATAGCCTATGTATTGACATTAAATAGGCCATCTGGAAATACACACTTTGATGGTGTTTGATGGTAAAATGTGTGAAATTCAAACCTATAATCTTACCTCAGGAAGCTATTATCTAAGTCAAAATAATTATTTGGGAGTGTCACAACTGTATTGGCAAAAACATCCTCTGGCATTCACGCTAGCCCTGACCCGGGTGCTCCAGTAGAGCTCAAGATAAACAAAGGAGTGGTAAACTCGTAAACTTGCAAACACAACCATTATGTAGGCCGCCTTCCTGTTATCAAACTTAATAACAACCATGATGTACTGGCTATTACAGTATAGGGTTCTCTGTACAGAGATGAAGAGACAGTGATAAACTAATGGGATATTGTCATTCATAAGTGGAGTGCTTTGTAAATCCGAAAGGCTGTAGTCCAACGCACACTGAATAAAGCCTTGGTTTCTGTTTGAAATTAAAGTTGCTGAAGAGACTTTCACAGAATTTGCATCCACCTCATGTTCACTTTCCATTTGAAATACTGCATCTGGGGCAGTATTCTTGTCTCTGGCACTGTGCTTCTGTCAATTCTGAATGTAAACTACTTATGTGCATAGGCTTTTCACTCACTGATTGAGAACAGTAGTTGAAAATGCAATTGTGGGGGCCGACCAAGATCGACAACGACCCAGATGTCATATCCTCACACATCGTTGCTTACAATCATATCATGAGTAACCTGCTTAATTACTCACACAACTTAAAATGGTATTAAAGTATACAAGTGTTTGCCATCCTTCTCTGACTGTGTTTACACAGGGAGCCCGATTCGGATCTTTTGCACAAATATTGTAAAGAAACTGATCTGATTGGTCAAATAACCAATTAGTGGGAAAAAATATCAGAATTGGGCTGCCTGTCTAAACACAGTCTTAGAGGCCTCAACTAGTGACAATCCAACCTTGAACTGGCTTAAGCAGCTGAATTTCACTCTGTAATGGACATTACAAAATAGAAGATGTCTGAATGTTCTCATTGTTCAACTGAAAGTTGTATCAGTTTCATATCAAGAGTCTATAATGACGCATGTATACGTAATTCAGAATGAAAATATAATCTTGAGACTCAGAAGAATAATCTGTCTTTTGAGCCATTATGACTTTTTGTACTATGCCCTTGCATCTGAGATGTAACTTGCTCTTGCATCTTGCATATTGAATGTAAATACATATACCCAGAAGAATTCTGTTTTAAATGTGTTACTTCAACCACACCATGGCCTTGAGTCCGCTCTCTCCAGTCAAGTCAATTTATCCAAAATTACAGGTCTACACAGTCAATAATATGTACTTGCAGATGTAATCCAAACAGGCAAGTGTAGGCATGGGAAACTGGAAAAAATGAGTTCGATATGGACTCAGAATCACAGCTCATTGGTTTAGGAGATAATCCTTAAACTCTATGCCAACTGTCTTTTTGAGCCAAGTGAACACTCAATTCACAGCTGAGCATATTCTGAGTGAGAAATTAGCTGAGGGAGTCAAGTTACTGGGAATCAGGGAGGAGTCTATGGGAAGTATTTCACTTTCCTCACTTACAGTAAACCCAGTCTAAAGCATGATGACTCAAGGCAAAAGTAACAGTTCCTCATTATAAAAACTGTTCACTATAAAAATTTTATGTTTCTGTTTTCCAGAGTAACCATTTATAAGAAATGGATAGAAGAAATGAGTACAAATCATGTTGTTTTTTTATTGAGAAGGAAAATGTTTCCATTCCTTGAATAAAAATGATGAGAAAAAAAACAAGTCCAACATTTTCCAATTCATTTTGGTCATGGAGACACAATTATATGAAAGGGATATGGGTGAATTGATAGGCCGCAATTGAGGGAAGGATAGAGAGATTTGGGGATGGATGGAGAGTGATAATGGAGATAGATGTGTGGTGGATGCTCAGTTTAGAATCTTCCCGAGCGTTCTCTGTCTCTGGAGCGCCTTCTCTCGCGGTCGCGTCCACCTCCACCACCACCTCCCCTGCCTCTGTCCCTCGAGCGCGAACGCCGTTCCCTGGAACGGGAGCGAGAACGATGCCCCCCTCTGAGGAATAGAGAAAACAAGGAGCTAGTTAAACTCAAAATGAGAATTTCCCACTTAAACTTATGTGAAAAACCTTATCAAGTCAGAAACGTGCATTCCGGATAGCACTTGAAAGCAGCATAAGTTTTATGATTAGCGTTGACTCTGAGAGCCTGAGCTTACCCCCTCTTCCTGCGGCGTCCGTACAGCTCCCTCCTCAGCTCCCTAGAGATGGGCTTCAGGTGCATGAAGTTACAGAAACCTCCTCGAGTGCACTCCCTGTGGAGAGAGGGGGAACTCAGTTAGTGCACTGGGGGGGGGGGGGGGCAGCAACTCTTGTATGAAGAAATCTAATCAGTAACGGAGAGAAAGGTGTGTGGACTTGGTGCCATTGGTAGGATTTAGCCTTGCTACAGCATTTATATAGTTGAAATAACTCAACTTAATTACAACTCATTTGTGTAGGTGTCACCTTTAATGCAAAGTTGAGCTGAAAATGGTGTGTGTGTGGTCCTGCGGTCGAGTACTAACCCCATCTCATACTGGCGGCAGCAGGCTTCTCTGAAGTCGGTAACGGGAGAGAGCTCGGCATGGATGGGCTGACCATTGAACCAGCGGTTATTCAGATCCATCACTGCCTTCTCCGCGTCTTCTTCACGACGGAACTGCACAGAGACCATCACAGAGTTAGTGTGTGTGCAAATGTAGGTTCTAAAGAGGCAGAGAATGACAGAGTGTGATTGAATGAGAGGAGAACGTGTGTTTTCTTCAACAAATGTATACAAAACCCACCATCACACACACACACACACACAATGGTCAGTGACACACCTTCACATATACGTTTCCGACCAGATGGTCTCCCAGGTTATCGCACACGTTCATCTCCTCCACCTCTCCGTACTTCTCCTCCATCTCTGTGAAGACCTCCTACAGCAAGACAAACAGAGGGAGAGATGGATTGGCAGACAGAAGGGTTAAAACATACTATTTGAATTCAAAGTCCATTTCCCACACATGATCAAAACACACTTTACAAAGACAAGGGAAAAAAGGTTTCAGTATTTTGTCAATGATTCCCACATGGGCTGTGTGGAGGGGGAGGGAAGAGATGCAAGGTAGACCTGAGTTGCATCATCCACTCCATTCAAATTGGCTTACGGTGCGATAATACCACACGCTGAACATCACTGACTCACCTCAAAGAACTCGTCATAGTGCTCCTGCATCTCCACATCACTGACGGCACCTAGTGGCCACAGGGGAGAAACGCACGCATCAGGGACAAGTCAACGTGTTACAGTATGTGACATAAGCATTGTGGTTTCATGAACTACATGCACAAGATAAATATTTCTAACACCTAGGAGTCTGGACTACTGAATTACAAATGTATTCAATCTAATACACAGCAAAGACAAGTGTCCGGAGGCAAAGGGTCAATGCGAAAAATATGGTCATTGTGCCCCTGCACACCAAGGACGACAGTAAGACTGGACATTTGCCCTTTATGAGAGGACAGAGTCTTATGAGACTAATTTGAGTTCCATTCAGTGAGTGCCAAGTAGTAATGGTACGGTTCTGGCACTGAGATAATATAGCCATCAATGGATGCTAAGGAATGGGACTCACTGGGGCCTAAACACTCTAGGGAAAATGTCAGTCATACTCAACTCACCAAAATCACACCCCATGTATCATATCACATTTTGTACAATAAAAAACAAAAACTGTATCCTCCATTAGTTTGACCACCTGAGCCTATAGAGCAGGGTTAACCTCTAGAATATCATTAATAAAGTGTTTTGTGAATGACGCTGTAGTTGAAACATTGATGAATAAATGTTTTCCTAGAACAAGTCTTAGATTTTGAATTAATAGAAACATACTGTATGCATCAAAACATAAATTTGACTATTTCTGTTACACTGACTACATGGCACCAGAACGGTAGCATACATGGTTTGTTTTAATTTACACTAGTACCTGTTGTATTATATGTATATTACAGCACTCTAAAGGGCGGAGAACGTATATCACTGATCATGTAATAAAGGGATAAATCTTAACATGTCAGATAAAGAGGACAGATAGCGCCCCCAAAAGGAAGTAAGGGCGAATAAAGAGAAAGATAAAATAACATTTTGTGCCACAGGTCCCTGTTAACAGGTGGGAAACTTACAGCGCAAACCATCAGCAGACTGGGCAGTGTTTTGAGGGTTACGGTAAATGTTCAAGAGGGCAATGGTCTGAAATACAAAATGTACATTTTTGAGATAGTTTCAGGCAGATTTCTAAAATGGTAGTTAAATAGGTGCATTTACTCCCATCCCCCTCCCTCAAAACGGTGTACTTTCGCCCCAACCAGCCCCAGAACAGGGTAGGAAGGGATGACTGAAAGAGGTTAAGATGATCCACGGGACTGGTCCACGCTGAAAGAGATGGAGCTGGAAGAAGTGAAAATCTCAGCATGACAATATTTGACTATTGAAAATTATGATGGAAAATCCAATACATTCGACAATTTAGCCTACCCAAACATTACATATGTCAAACATTTATATCAGGTCATTGGGGCTCGAAATGACCTCCAGAACTTGCTGAATCATAGGTGATTGGATGCCAAGATGTGTTTAATTTTTTCCCGTCATTCTGAGATGCTCAGCTGAGAAACAGAACAGTTATACATGACAGCAACAAGACCACAAACCCACTACTTACCTTAGAGGAAGCGAGTGGCAATGCATCAGCTCTGCTAGCCGGGGCTCAACATCAGGGTACTATTTACACACTTACAATATGTCTGACGAACTCTGAATCAGTCTAATGTATAGGGGCTGCAGTTTTGCGAGAGCAAAAACAAGAATCTAAAACTGTTCTGTGTCTGGACAGTAACGCATATAGATATTTCTGCTGTCTATAACCAGGTTTCTATCCAACCTTCTATCCAACATTTTTCAATAAACTTTCCAACTGTCGACAAAACAAAATACACTAGACAAGGTGGGATCTTTTTGTGTTGGTAAAATGAATCATGCGAGAAATGTTGGTGGAAACACTTTTAAGCGCAAATATTGATATAACCATCATATCGAAGTGAACTTGGAGTCACTCGATGACATGTTGTGTGGTCCTCCCACTCGCCTGGAAAGCATACAGTTTAAGTTATGATGAACTTCACTGGGTGGTGAATGTGCAAGGTGATGAGCTTGATGCTCCTTTCCAATAAATATTGAGGGTCTCATTCTGGTGGCATGATAATCGATGCATGGCTGCTGTTTGACAAATAAAAATAATCTCGCTCCTTTGTCCTTAATAATAATAATGTCATCATGTAGGCTATACACGCGCTCTAACCAACAGCGCGCAGATAGCGCTGCTAGAGTGCACGTGCCAATACCAGAGTGGAAAACCATCAGTAGAGAAAACCAATGCAATAAACCCATTTAACTAGTATTGTTTTTATTTTATACATGGGAGTTTAACGGCAAAATGTATTTTTATGTGCACTCTGTCATCACGCACAGCCTTTTATCTGCAACAAGTCAATTTGATGGAAACACATCTCTGGTGGGAAAATGCGAATATTGTTTTATGTGGATTTTAGAATATTTGCATAAAATCTGTCGCCAATTGGATGGAAACCTAGCTAATCACAAACAAATGTTGGGCACTAGGGCAGTCAGTGTGTTGTCAGTCTTGTCTGAAAGCGCCTGAAAAATACCTAAAGTCATTCAACTGTTAGAAAACAGGTACTATGGAGGAGATTGCCTGTGGATAATAACCTCACTGTACGGATCCAATGCGAATTGTGGGGATCAAGGCATTTTCTTTGTTTGAGTCCTTTTCTCAATGTCACTATCAGAGCATGTCATTCTACGCCTAGGCTTAAAATCTCCTGAATGGCAACGGATAAAAAGATTTCAATCGATTTGATTGGCAATATACTAAAGTGTTGAGGTAGTGTTATGGTACCCCCTGCTACCAGTGCTGAGACAGACCCTCCGAAGCCCTGCAGGAAGCCAGCGGAGACGCAGACCTAAAATCTGAGGAGGGGGAGAGAGCTAGAGAGACCTGGTGGGCTGAGAGGACTGGACCGGAGGCACTTACAGTGGGAGCCGTCGGCCGTCTGCGCACTGTTTTGGGGGTTACGGTAGATGTTTTGAATCAAGATGGTCTGCAGAGGGAAAAATAAAAAAATTGTTTTATAAAAATACAAAAACTAAATCCCACCCCCCCCAAAAAAAATGTGGCTATATAGCTAACGTAAACAGACTTTATTTTTAACCCACAGGTGGTGATGAAGGTAGAGGACTGTTTGGCCCCTCTTGCTAAAATGTGAAAAAGTTTAAAATCAATAAAATAAGAAATGCCGAGACCTAGAACCTATAGGAGAGGGGGCGGACCAAATCCCCATACCTAGAACCTATAGGAGGGGGGCGGACCAAATCCAGATACCTAGAACCTATTGGAGGGGGGCAGACCAAATCCCGATACCTAGAACCTATAGGAGGGGGGCAGACCAAATCCCGATACCTAGAACCTATAGGAGGGGGGCAGACCAAATCCCGATACCTAGAACCTATAGGAGAGGGACAGACCAAATCCCGAGACCTAGAACCTATAAGAGGGGGGCGGACCAAATCCAGATACCTAGAACCTATAGGAGGGGGGCAGACCAAATCCAGATACCTAGAACCTATAGGAGGGGGGCAGACCAAATCCCGATACCTAGAACCTATAAGAGGGGGGCAGACCAAATCCCGATACCTAGAACCTATAGAAGGGGGGCGGACCAAATCCAGATACCTAGAACCTATAGAGGGTGGGCAGACAAAATCCCTGGATGTAGAGGAACCTTGAGTCTGTAGGAGGGGTAAGTGCAAAATAAAGCAGGAGTCCGTGCTTGACCGGTGGACACGCTGGGGAGTTTGTGTCTTTTCTCTGTCCCATGCAGACAAGGCGAGCTGTAGGGAAACCTAGAGGAAGCCTAGAGTATGTGCTATGTTCTAATAATCTATTCAGTGAGACGGATACATCTGACTTTGGAGGTGGGAACAGGCCACATAAATCCTACCACTTCAGACAAACCATTGCGGAGAGTAGGCCAACTGGTGGAAAAGTGCTAGCTATTGCAAAGCTTGCAATTACTGTTTATAAAAGAGGACTGAAATTATGTTCAGTGACTCAGTCATGTTTAGTCGAACGCAGTCACAATATGCATTAATAGGAGGGAACGAGGTAGGGGTGTTCACGTTTAAACAACATTGGGATCCTTAACGTTAAGAAAAAACCCAAACCCGGAAAAAAAAGTTATCACAGAACATATTATAGCTTAAATAGACAGGCTATAAAGGCATGGGGAAAGGTGTGTAATTTAATTTAAATATGTGTGTGTTTAGTCTTCGGTCTGTTGCGTATAGAATATCCTAGCCTATTCATTGATGATAGGCCCTGCTTTACTGAATTTGCAAGACACAGCTTTTGATTGCCAATAGATAAGCCTAGTGCACGGTTCTGACTGTCTGCCTGGTGGCCGACCTGCCTATACTGTGCCCCTCTTCGCTCTCTCCGCCCCTCCCTAGCTCGCTATGAAAGATGTGGCAGGTAGCCAAGCGGTTAAGAGCGTTGGGCCAGTAACTGAAAGGTCGCTGGTTTGAATCGCCGAGCAGATTAGGTGAAAAATATGTTGATGTGCCCTTAAGCAGGGCACTTATCCAGAGTGACTTACTATAGCAATTAGGGTTAAGAGCGTCTGCTAAATGACCAAAATGTAAATGTTTGTGTTCTCAGAAGTACAGCAACTAAATCAGTCTTATCTGTTCCAAAAATACTGAATCTTAGTAGTCGATTCTGCTTGACACTCAGAAATAGGAGTCGACATGCAAGGAAACGAGGAATCAATTATTTGACTCAACTCTCCACCACTACGCCATCGTCATTAACAGTTGGGGATACCTAGTCAGTTGCACAACTGAATGGATTCAACCGAAAATGTGCCTTCCGCATTTAACTCCACCCCTCGAGGTAGTACAGGTGCAATGCTTAACCATCTGAAAGGGATGCACCGTGAGACCCAAACAGTTGCTAGCAGCAGCAAAGCTGCATTGTGAATTCACGTGGAATTTTATGATTTTTTGTTTATCAGAAAATGGATAAAGGCTGTTTAAAGTTTTTTTCCCCTCCACATCCCTACAACGAGGGACATCAGGCGCATGACTATGTCAATAATCCAGTCAAATGGTTTGAGCTCTGTCAAAAGACTAAAAAGGATTGCCAACAACCTGGAGCGAAGATCCAAAGACGCACTCTAGGGTAGGGTCAGATCAAACAGCGGTTGGCCAGAGCAATTTGCAGTCTGGTCAAGCAGGCAACTTTCTGCATGGAATCTCTTGCAAAAGGCATGGCCAGCGATTACAATGGAGTAGAAATACATGGAGATGCAGAGGGAAGTGCATTGCCGTGCCGCCTTTCATCCAATGTTATGTATAGAGAAAGACTTGTTTCTAAATTACACTCCGCTACGTACATTTGTATGTGGATAGTGATGCTAAAAATATATATTTGGCTTTATACTCCAGCATTTTGGATTTGACATCAAATGTTTCATACAAGGTGACAGCATAAAATGTCACCTTTTATTTGAGGGTATTTTCATACATACAGTGAGGGGAAAAAGTATTTGATCCCCTCT